GCATCGCTTTCATAGACTGATATGTATAACCTTTTATGGTCATATGAAGAATATGTATGTCCTTTTATGGTCATATGAAGAATATGTATATCCTTTTAAGGTCAAATCAAATATATGAATGTCCTTTTATGGTCATATCAAAGATATGAATGCCCTTTTATGGTCATGTCAAAAATATGAATGTCCTTTTATGGTCATATCAAGGATATGAATGCCCTTTTATGGTCATATCAAAGATATGAATGCCCTTTTATGGTCAAATCAAAGATATGAATGCCCTTTTATGGTCATATCAAAGATATGAATGCCCTTTTATGGACTTCTATTTATGCTGTATTGATTTGTTCATTGTAGTTTACTAAGAGCAGCTGCTGGCTTTGCTCAGAATGTTCCTGTGAATCCAGACACTTCGGTTAAACGATGTTCCTACATACGCTGTGTGGTTCAGATGATTTGTAAATGTTCTCATCAAAAAGAAATTAAAGTTGAAAGTTTTGCGACAGCAATTGATGACATGATGCAGGATATTGAATCTGTGGCTTCAGTTGGTAAGTGAAATGACCATATATGGATGAATGAATGAATAGTGTGACCATATGTGGATGAACAGTAACCATGTATGGATGAATAGTGTGACCATATATGGATGACTGAATGAATAGTGTGACCATATATGGATGAACAGTGACCATATGTGGATGAACAGTAACCATATATGGATGAATGAATGAATGAATAGTGTGGCCATATATGGATGAATGAATAGTGTGACCATATATGGATGAATGAATGAATAGTGTGACCATATATGGATGAACAGTGACCATATGTGGATGAACAGTAACCATATATGGATGAATAGTGTGACCATATATGAATGAATGAATGAATAGTGTGGCCATATATGGATGAATGAATAGTGTGACCATATATGGATAAATGAATGGATGAATAGTGTGGCCATATATGGATAAATGAATGAATAGTGTGACCATATATGGATGAATGAATGAATAGTGTGGCCGATGGATGAATGAATAGTGTGACCATATATGGATAAATGAATGAATAGTGTGACCATATATGGATGAATGAATGAATAGTGTGACCATATATGGATGAACAGTAACCATATATGGATAAATGAATGAATAGTGTGACCGTATATGGATAAATGAATGAATAGTGTGACCATATATGGACAAATGAATGAATAGTGTGACCATATATGGATAAATGAATGAATAGTGTGACCATATATGGATGAATGAATTACTAGTGTGACCATGTATGGATGAATGAATGAATGAATAGTGTGACCATATATGGATGAATGAATGAATAGTGTGATCATATATGGATAAATGAATGAATAGTGTGACCATATATGAATAAATGAATGAATAGTGTGACCATATATGGATGAATGAATGAATAGTGTGACCATATATGGATGAACAGTAACCATATATGGATAAATGAATGAATAGTGTGACCGTATATGGATAAATGAATGAATAGTGTGACCATATATGGACAAATGAATGAATAGTGTGACCATATATGGATAAATGAATGAATAGTGTGACCATATATGGATGAATGAATTACTAGTGTGACCATGTATGGATGAATGAATGAATAGTGTGACCATATATGGATGAATGAATGAATAGTGTGATCATATATGGATAAATGAATGAATAGTGTGACCATATATGAATAAATGAATGAATAGTGTGACCATATATGGATAAATGAATGAATAGTGTGACCATATATGGATGAATGAATAAGCAGTGTGACTATATATGGAAGAATGAATGAATAGTGTGACCATATATGGATAAATGAATAAGCAGTGTGACTATATATGGAAGAATAAATGAATAGTGTGACCATATATGGATAAATGAATAAGCAGTGTGACTATATATGGAAGAATGAATGAATAGTGTGACCATATATGGATAAATGAATAAGCAGTGTGACTATATATGGAAGAATAAATGAATAGTGTGACCATATATGGATGAATGAATGAAGTGTGACCATATATGGATGGATGAATGAATAGTGTGACCATATATGGATAAATGAATGAATAGTGTGACCATATATGAATAAATTAATGAATAGTGTGACTATATATGGATGAATAAATGAATAGTGTGACCATATATGGATAAATGAATAAGCAGTGTGACTATATATGGAAGAATAAATGAATAGTGTGACCATATATGGATGAATGAATGAATAGTGTGATCATATATGGATAAATGAATGAATAGTGTGACCATATATGGATAAATGAATAAGCAGTGTGACTATATATGGAAGAATGAATGAATAGTGTGACCATATATGGATAAATGAATGAATAGTATTGACCATATATGGAGGGACAGTAACCATATATGGATAAATGAATGAATAGTGTGACCATATATGGATAAATGAATGAATAGTGTGACCATATATGAACAGTGATCATATATGGATGAATGAAGTGTGACCATATATGGATAAATGAATGAATGAATAGTGTGACCATATATGGATAAATGAATGAATGAATAGTGTGGCCATATATAAATGAATGAATGAATGAATGAATGAATAGTGTGACCATATATGGATGAATGAATGAATAGTGTGACCATATATGGATGAACAGTAACCATATATGGATAAATGAATGAATAGTGTGACCATATATGAATAAATGAATGAATAGTGTGACCATATATGGATGAACAGTGATCATATATGGATGAATGAATGAAGTGTGACCATATATGGATGAATGAATGAATAGTGTGACCATATATGGATGAATGAATGAATAGTGTGACCATATATGGATGAATGAATGAATAGTGTGACCATATATGGATGAATGAATGAATAGTGTGACCATATATGGATGAATGAATGAATAAATATTGTGACCATATATGGATGAACAGTGACCATATATGGATGAATGAATAGTATGACCATATATGGATGAACAGTGACCATATATGGATGGATGAATGAATGAATAGTGTGACCATCTATATAATCACAACAATCTCCAGTCTTACATACTCAGTAGCTAACCAATCAGGAAGTCAGCTGGCAATGTTGCTGTCTTAGGTGTTCAAAACAATATGGCGGTGACAGTAATAAGAAAAGAAAATCCCTCAACTGTCTGTATTGTGGATAACAGGAACATAGCAAGATTAAATGAGCGATATTTAACTTTGATCAATTGGAAAAAAAGCACTGAAATACATTCGTGAAATGGTAACTTTGTATGTGCAATCATTCTCTGCTTTCAAGTCGTCCTCTGCCTCACTTCTTGCGGTACCACAGTACAGTTTGCGACATCTAGCGACAGATTTTGCTATTGCTGCACCAAGATTAATGTCATTTGAACTGAATTCAGTGTACTGATATTAACTTTTTCACCACCAGTTCCCTCTGCATTTTACCTACCTTCAGAGGATTGGGACAAAAATAGCCAGATTTTTGGAGTCAAATCTGAAAATTGACTCAAATTTTGTCTGTTGGCTCCAAAATTAAGGTTCATTCCCAGAAATATTGAAGAGTATAAGAAAAAAGTGCATCAAAATGTGGGCGAGAAAGTCTGGCGATAAAAATGTTAAAAGTGTTCAAACTTTGAATTGTACGTTTTCGTCTTTTTTGTGAATGAACAATTTTATGCACTTTTTATCATTATGTATTGTAATACTGTAGAATACTTTATTTTCGCTTGGAATTCATTTTCGAAATTTTCGCTGAAAAATTTAATTTTATTTCAGCATAATTTCTCCCGCCCGCCGACTTGTAAGCGCAAAAAATGCTAAAAAATATTATTTTTATCTTCATTTGTTTACCGCCCGCCGCATAACAAATCCAAGTTGCATTTTCGTGGGAATATCATGATCAAAGTACTGAAGTCTCACGCAGATGAGAAACAAGGTTATACATGAAATAAAATTTTATTTCATTTCTTCTCTCTGATCAATGATCTCACTTACAATTTTTTGAGAATCACACAAATCTAATGGGAAAAAAGAATTATTTTTTTATTTATTTGTTCACCCCCTCGAAAAAATTGCCTTATAAAAACTCGCAAAACAAGGAATAAAAAAAGTCTGGCCTCAGTGAAAATCAGTGAAAATAAATTCCACACAAAACACCCAAAAAGTCTTTTCAGCAAAAAATTAATTCCAGCTAAAATAAAGTATTCTACAGCAAGCACACTATGAATAATCAAATTATTAATTATTGTTTTCACTTCCAGCCGTTGATACTCAAGCAATGACGTCAGAACTGATTGATTTGCTGACTGAAGTTCTCAATCTTTTGAATAACTGTGCATCAGCTGGTAGAGGGATAGAAGTGGTGGAAAGGTCGCTAGTGAGGTGGATAGAACGCAGTCCTTGTAGTGTCTTAATATTACCGTTAATAACAGCAGCATGTAGAACATTGGCTTCATTAACGCATATGGTTCTTATAGTGGAGACGTGTATGGATTCCTATTTCAACTCAGGTATGGGTATTTTTATGTGACATCACTTC